TAACATTTTCCAGATGGAGGAGATGAGAGTAGGGATCAGATSAATAATGTATAGTTGTCTGAAACCACATACTACTTTTAAGGAGTGAACGATAATTGTGACCAGAGCCTCAAATAATTGGAAAGACCAGCAGAAGATGGGAAGAGACAGTAGTTTGGAGATGACTGAGCAGTAAAGCAATTTTCTCAAATTCTCAAATTCATAATGTTTAAATTATAAAATTCATGATCTTCAATAATTGCACCTAACTTTTCCCAACYGCTAGTTTGTCTGCATCAGTGGGCTTTAACTGTTAAAAAMAAGTCTAATAGCAAGCTGATTAAAAATATGCAATCTTGTTCTTACAAATAATATTCCTGACTCTATCTAAAACAATATAAAAATGAAGGCACTATACTCTATGCAATGTATCCTTAAAGATGAGGTTTATGGATTTTGGAGAATTCAAGTGAAATTGGAGGAAAAATACAAAGCGTTGCTTGCCAGAGGCATGTTTTCTTTTCATTTTCTTTCATCAGACTATTTCTGAGGCACTGTGTTGTAAAGACATAGTTCCATGATGAATTTACTTTTGAATTTCCTGTCGGGTCACCTGTCTGTCCTTTAGTCAATCAACTCTTAGAATGGGTGTCTTGTGAATTTAGTCCCTGGCACATACACAGAGCTTTCAATAAAATGTGTTKCTCTGTTTGGAACTGGCATGAGGACCTTAGCTACACATACATATAACTACAAACTTCCTGATCTTTATTAATTGCTTATTGTGTTCAAGATACTGGACTAAGTTCTATCAAGAATGAAATAAGAGAAAAGAGAGAATTGGATGCACTATTTCCAYGCAAGGGATTTTGGTTCTAAAGCATCTATGATGAGGTCAATCCATTAATGTGTCCTGTTTTAGATGAATGACCCCAAATTCCTTCTTTTAAAAACATGATACCATCTGAAATTTGAAAAAAATGTATTGATCAGGAATAATTTTTCAGCAATCTGACTTATTATGAAAAGATAAAGTTTTCATGAAGCACTCTTCTGATTGAGCTCTTCTTAAACCTGTTAATATCAGTTTTAAATAAAGGAAAACAGACTTCAAGCCCAGGATCTCATGATCAGCATCAGGAGCCTCACTAATCAATAAAAGGAGAAGGACTTATCAAAACACATACAGCATGACTTCTGAGATCCATGAATGCCTGATCAGGAGAGCTTTACTCAAAGAAGTTATGATTTAACATGAAAAATAGATGATAGAAAAGTCAACAAGCAATAGGTGTGCATAAGAAGGGAAAGCATTCCTAAGTAGTATTCATAAGAAGGGAAAGTCGTACTCAGTCCTGAAAGATGAGTAGGATTTTCATAGACACCTTTTGGAAGAGAGAAATAGTCATTGCTGGGATGGCATGTTTATATAATAGTATAAATAATACAAAATAACAATAACACAAATAATAATAGTTTCTGCTTCCATCATTTATTGAACCTAATGGTGGTCTTGATGTGGCACTAGGTGGTTTAGCTTTATTGTCTTATTAAATTCTTATAATGATCCTGTAAGGTACAGGGGAGAAGTTAAAGAGATGAAGAGACTTAACTCYGATGGGAATGGAGTTCCCCTTAGTGGAATGGGCTGGCTGATAAATAAAAACCAAGAKAAATAAAATGGTAAAACAAACAAAAAAAAAACATAGAACACAGAAAGTAATTGCAAAAGCAGGGGCAGGACAGGCAAGCTGATAGTATGGATGGAGTTTCTAGACAAAATGGAGCCCACACCTGCTCTATTTATATGGGAAAACATGAGAGAGATTCTACAGAATGTTCTTCTCCAAAAAAAGTCTTAAGGTGGGCTGTTCAGTGGTTACGCCCATCTCCAGAGCTACTATGAGGAACCTTCCTAGCAGAGCGGAGAGAAAGGTCATGTGCATTGGGCAATCTGATGCCGTGGAAGAGCCATGGATAGTTCACAGTACCAGGCCTAATGCTCCTTGGCTTCAGGGTGAGAGAAGATCCTCATGTATTTCACGGATGGCTTCCCACACTTAACTGAACTTGATTGTTTACAATTGATTTCCCCTGGGAACATAGATGTAAACTAGTTGATCTGGTTCTATATAACATTTGATGGAATACTGAACAGTTCTGTTCAAATGAAGGATTTGTTAATATGTCAAAATACACTCTGCTGTCATGTATATCCAAAGAGAACAATTTTTTAAAAAATGAAAGATTTGTTTTGAGCAGGCCTTGAATCCAAGTTTAAATAATTTAGTTGGTTTGTGCTTATCATCTTTTTCTATAGAAAATGGAGATATTCCAGAAATCGCCTGTTAAAAAACAAAACCTTATTTATGAGTATTTCTTTGAGAGTTCTATGCAATAGACCAGGCGAATGAACCAAAGGCGGAATCCCAATCAAGAGTGCAATAAAAATGGATGGGACTGTGTWGGACCTAGGATCTCCTTAATCCTGAACATTTATTTTGGGAGGAAAATATCAGAAAGCAAAGTTGCAAAGACTTTTAAAATTCTAAGTTTAGAAATATATAGTTGTAAAATGTAYACCTATTTTCATGGAGTAAGTAAAAACAGTCAATGACTTAATGTAATCCACTGTGCAGTGGGTAAATGAAAAGGAAAGCACAGACAAGTTAGAAAGAGCAGCACATCAGGCATAGAGATGACCTATTCCAGGAATTCCATCTGGAATCCAGGTGTAATAGCAAAAAACAACAACAACAACGACAACAACAAAAAAAAAAACAGACCTCCAAATAAAGAAGAGTAGAAAGAGAATTGTAGCCAACTGGGGACCAAGTAAGGTACAGACCTTCTTTCAAGGGCAGCACTGAGATACTGAAGTGCAATAAGGAGTCAACTTCCAGRAGAAGCAGCCAAGACTGCTTCTAAAGCCCACTTTTCTGGACCTTGATAAGTGKTTGTTGATATCCATTCCAAGAAATGAGCTGGGCATTCTGCAGACCTGGAGACTCATCTCAGTAACTTTTTTGGGTAAGAGTCAGGAAAGAACCGACAGACCTCTCCTAATTCCCTTRTTTGAAAAGGAGATGATTTCCTTATAACTTTGAGTAACATTACCTACTTAGACCACAATTTTATGATAACCTGTCTCTGATCTTAAAAAAGTCTTCCTAGAGTCCTAGACATGAGTCAAAACCCAAACCTTGGCTGCCTGGGCACTTATGAGTTCCTACTAGATCTAGAGTCCGGATTTCTTGCTGTTTTCTAGTACAGTTTCTGTAATGTGGAATATTGATGATTTATTAGTTTGTGCTTTTCGAGAGAGATAAATCAATTAAAATTAGTTAACTATGTTCCTGGGCTGAGAAGTCGTTCCACTCCCTTAGAAATATATTCTGGTAGTTTCCAGCCAGTTTCAATTTTCCTAAATTGAAATCTGTTATAAGATAAAATGTTTTCTATTAAATTTGATAAGTTTAAGTAAAACTACATGATATACTTCCATCAAAGGAAATGAGTATCATTCTTCAAAGCAAGATTGATTTGCAACTGTGACAGATGATGTTTTTCAAATTTAGCTGCAATTCARCAATGGTATTTTGATGTCTTTGAAATAATTGACATAAAGAGTGATTCTCTATTTTAAACTGTGTTTTATTTCAGTTTGGTACTACATAGATAGAAATATTCCAGAGGGCTCTTATTTCTTGCAGTTTTGCTTTTGTAAACTACTTTGCATCAAAAATTAAAAACTGCTTTTTTAATAAAAAAAAATCAAAATTTAAAACAGAAAGGATTTTCTCATTTTTATATTGGAAAACATTTGTTCTTCCTTTTGAGACTAAATCGTATGATRCATAATAGATCACATGTATTATTTCACATATTTTAATTGACAAATCTTTATTTCAAGCAACTAGATTACATTTTCTTTGGGTTTTGGTTTTCAAAATTCATGAAGWCTTGACAATCAAGCTAAACACTAATTGCTTTGCTTGGTAATATCTTTGCTGAGATCATTATAAATCCACTAAATAAAAGCTCAGAGGCAGGTGTTGTTCTACAATAGTCATAACTTTAAAATCTTCCATCTCTGATTGCTATAGACTCATGGTGAAATTGCCCATTGTTCTTAGAAAACCAAAATAAAAACAATGCAATTTAATATAAATATTTGTATTAATAATGTTAGTAAATAAATAATTGTTGTTTATAAAAATTCTTTAAATATGAGATTGTCTTTTGCTTGATAAAGTCATTATTATAGTTTGCAGTGAGTGAGTGTTACCATTTTTAACAACCTCACTTGGCCAAATGAGAAGTTGTCAATCTTATGTTAGCCCCCATTCTCTGTCTTTGAAGCCAGACAAAACACGGAAAATCTAGAATAGAAGCTAATGCTATATATGTCAATGGGAACTTCTGTGGATTTTCTTTCATCAAGCCCCAGGACTTAAAAACCTTATGCATAAACTATTCATTGCCTGATTTTTTTAAAGAAAGAATGGGGAAAGAAGCAAATTAGAATTAAAGAGTTCTTTAGCATCTATGACATTTTCCTTAGAGGATTAATGTTCTATCTTGGTTTCAATCAATACCCAAAGAGCTGGATTTAAAATATCATTGATTGCAGAAATATATATTACAATGTAATGCCTCTAAGTAGTATTAGCATACCGGTGATAATTTAAACATTCCTTATGCCAAATCTATCTTGCAATACAGATTTTTCTCCTATTCACCAGAACTGATTTTGGCATTATTTAGTTATTTTATAAAATATTTCTAGATTCTGTTATCCCTTTGTATAACCTTAAAGTTTCAGGATCAATTACTTATGACACTGAGAATCCCCATTTATAAATGCACTGTTTTCCACTATTCCAGGAGCTGATAAAATTGAAAAGTATCCTGTGTAACTTGACAGTCTTGTGAAAATRTGGGATGCCTTGAGTTGTGTTCTAATCGAACAGTGGCACGTTTGATGTTCTGTTGTTTTCTTTTCCTTCTCCCCCTTCTAGTGAAATCAGACGAGCTACAGACAATCAAGAAAGAACTAACCCAGATCAAAACTAAAATTGACTCCTTGCTAGGGCGCCTGGAGAAGATTGAGAAGCAGCAGAAGGCAGAGGCAGGTAAGTGAAGAAAATCTGTGGCCACAGACAGGTTGATATTAAACCAGTGAAACCATCAATCACAGACACTATAGCCCCGGGGAGACACTTGCTAAGTTTACTAAAAGTTTAATACAGATACACAAAGTCTTTAAGCTAAGAACTGCAACAATGGGATATGATTTCATTACTTTTAGAAAACAGGAACTAATTTTTCTAACATGTATATGAAAAGGAAAAGTATTTTGATAGCATGCTCAGAAATAATTGGATTATAATTGAAAGCTTATTTTTAATATCAAGTAAACTTTAAGACAACAAAAATCAATAATGCTATCAGACCAAAATAATTTTCATATTTCAATAAATTGACTGGAGCAAAATTTAACAGGTTTCAAAAAATCATTCTAAATCCCAACTCCTGCCATTGCTGCCACCCCATGAAACTTCAGTGCCAAATTTCAGGAACGTGGACTACAACAGCATGCAGCTAACCACCCAATGGTCAAGTTATTTGATCATGTCCTTTGCAACCTAAAGACCTATCTCCTTTGAATTATCAGATCGTACACTAGCTACATTCTTATACAATTGTAATGCTCTTGTTATGTGGCTACAGATGTTTGAATAATCACAGACTATGAAAACAGGAATAATAAAGAGCTAGTCCATGGTTTGATGATCTTGTTCTATAAGTCGTTAGATATCTCAGAGGCCTCCTTAAAGATGAGGTGGGAGTTAAGAGGAGGTAATAAATTTATGCCTCCTCCAAGTCCAACCCTTATTCCAACCAGCACAACTCTACCTGTATTGCTTTTATATATCAAGATTCCATCATATATAAATAAAACAAAATTTACATTAAAAATATTCCATATAAGTCTTAATTTGCTGGAAGAGTTTGTGCTCTATATGTGTAATAAGAATTGGAATGCATTCTGCTGTCATATATAACAAATTAGAATAATAAATAAATAAATAAAAATCAATAAACACACGATTCTAAAAGTCATTAAYAAATCCCACCTCCACATCTCACAGAAGAGAAAATAAAGGCTCTGGAAGGTAAATTAACTTTTCTATAGTCACATGTCTAGTTAGTGATAGACCTGAGTCTAGTGACCAAATCCAGTGCCCTCCAATTTTTACCTTAATTTCACATTTTCCACTGGGGTTGGTCCCAGTATTTCTCTAAAGTGCATTAGTCAGGTAGCATCTAAATTATGAGAACTGACTGAAACCTCCAGCCCTTGAATTGGAGAGAACAAGAGTCAGCTGGTTTTTGACTCATCATGGAGGTCAGGATCAGAGCTCTCTTTGGTGGTGAGCCTTACAGGGTTCAAGAATGAAAAGAARCCAGAAGTCATGATTATGGTATAGTGGATGCATGAAATAAAAAGTTTAAATTCTCACCGACCACTTCCTGAATTTCAGTTTTCTCTTTTATAAAATGAGGAATAGTATGACCACCTTACATTGTGAGAAATGAATTAAGTAGCATATGTAAACTGTACAGCATGGTAACCAACCAGAGCTTTAGGCTTAATAACTGGAGTTATCAGGGATTAGTACCAACACACACAAATTTAAGCAAATATTTACTACTCCAAGATGAGCATCCCTAATTTGAAAATCTGAATTACAAAATTCAAAATGTTCTGAAATCTGAAACTTTTTAATCACTGATTTTATGCTCAAAAAATTTTGAAATTCTGGGCATTTCAGATTTCAGAATTTACAATTAGGGATTTTCAACCAGTAAAAGTCTATACAAACATTCCAAAATCTAAAATAGTATGAAACTCTAACGATCTCAACAATTTCAGATATTTTACCTGAACTTTCAATCAGCTCATTTTTACAAAAATACAAGCCATGTCTGTAGCATRTAATAGATTCTCACTAATATTTGCTAAGTTAATATAGATGAGAAATGATAGATAAAATCATTATCTATCATTTCTATCTAAAAATTCCTATGATGAATATATTTTTATACTGAGAWAAAATATACTGCCTACACTTCTTAGTAAAGAAATTTAGATTTTGGAAAGTTTTTATGTGCTTTTTGTGGCACTAATCAAGCGTTCCTGTAACCGAAATATCCTGTGATGTTGCCTAAATCAATATTTCCCTTTGAGGAACTTGTGTGAAATTCATTATTATGTAAAACAACCCTTACAGCAAAAGACTTTGATAACCAATTTGCACTTCAGTTTAAAGGATTATGGAGAACTCATTTAAATATAAATCACCTCAAAGAGAAAAATGTGATCCTTATTCTAACATATTATACTTTCCAGTTTCCTGTAATGAATAATACTTTCCACAGATTTTCTTAGAAGATCATCTATATATGTAACAGTAAAATTCAAACCTCAGTTTTTGCTTTATGAAAACTGTCATCTTACTTTGGCACATGTCTAAATTTTCCCAGTCAAGACAGTTGCTTTTAGAATGATAAGAGTTGGTCCTCTTATGTTTATGTCTTTCTTATTTTAACATGGTATGACAAAAATAAATGTATTTAAGATTTGTAACTTCATTCTCTTAGAAATTGTCTCTGGAATAGCATCTATATTTATGGAAATAGGATAATCATATTTTATATGCTTTATAGAAAGAAATCAGAGTTAAATAGAAAGGGTTAAAACTACATTATGGAAAATGGAGTGAAATGTGTCCAAATTCCCCTTATATACTTAAGGGAGCACTCATTTTAATAATTCATTGAAAATTAATTGGTAGCTAGTATTTACTCTTCATCATGGCTCTTTTATACACATTTCATTCCCAATATACTATTAGTCATTTGATAATGAAAGTTCCCAGCATAGATGTAGGAACAGGAGGGAAATGAAGGACCGGAAACAAGACACCAGAGGAAATGGCAAATTTAAAGCCAGCCTCAGCAACTTAGTGAGGCCCTCAGCAAGATCCCGTCTCCGAATAAAAGATAAAGGGAGCTAGAGATGTGTCTCAGTGGTTAAATGCCCCTGAATTCAATCCCCCAAACAAACAAACAAAAAAAGAAGACATGACAGGACTTGGAGCATGCCCTGAATTCAAGTTTCATAGTATCATATTTTTTTTCAATGACTTTGGGGCAGGTAGATAACAAGCAAATTTGAGAGCAACTGAAAACTGGGGGCGAGGTGAAAGTTTACACTGTTATGATAGAAATACCAAGCATTCTCACCTTCAGCTGTCAGATCACTGGGGCAGGTGCTGGAAGAGTCTTTAGTTGGGAACATGAGCAATCCGGGAGTTCCCAGAGAGGTGGTCAACAAGGTCACATAAAGAAAGAGTATCCTTCTATCTTTCAAAACAGCAATGTTTTAATACTCTACTGTAAATGTAAGAAAACAGAGATCACCAAATAGAAGAAACATAACAAATACTTTTAACCCACCCCCCMAAAAAATGAGGAAACAAGTTGTACAGAATAAAACTTTAAAACATGAAAAAACATTGATTAATACTCTGAGAGAAATAAGAGAAGACACTACATTCACGAAATAAGAACACAAAACTATAAAACTGAGGATTTAGAGGGCAGGTTAAAGAGCTTTTAGAAATTAGTGTAACATAAATAAACAATTCAATACAGGGATTGAAATGCAAAATTGGAGAAACTGTTCCAGAAAATAAAATAATAAAATAGAGATGGACAATAGGAAGGAAAGAMTATGAAAATTAAAGGATTAATATCAGAATAACAGGATTCCAGAAATAAAAGAAGAAGAGAAGTACCGTCAAAAGAATTTTTCAGGAAAAAAAGAAATATCAAAACTAAAGGAAATAGGGCTGGGGTTGTAGCTCAGTGGTAGAGTGCTTGCCTAGCATGTGTGAAACACTGGGTTCAATTCTTAGAACCACATATAAATAAAATAAAGGTACACTGACAACTAAAAAAAAAATTAAAAAATGAAACTGAAGAAAATAGTTAACCGGATTAAAAAGATCCACCAGATACCTGAAAATAGATGTACATCCAAGCATGTAATTGTAATATTGCGGAACAGGGAAACAAAAAGAAGATTCTATAAACATCCAGTGAAAATTAAAGGGGAGAGGAAGGAGAGAACAGTGTTCATATAAAGAAGTAGGAATTAGAAAGCCTTAGCATGGAGTCTTTCAACAGCCACACCAAACGCTACAAGGCAATGAAAACATGATATTTTTACAGTGGAAAGTCCCTTTAGTTGGTGGTTYCTGGTTAGTTATGCTTTAGTTTTCCTTGGCTGTGTCCATTCTCTGAGTTGAGTTTCATTTACTTCCATAGGAACCAAAGGCATGGAAACTGTCTCAGTTAATTATTTTAATGCACCCTTTCTGTGAAAAGAATTGAGAAATGCACTTCACCAAAACAAGGAGGAAAACTAAGAAAGAGGGAAGCATGGCTTTTCTAAAGTAAGGAATCCAAGGGTGGGTGGTGAAGGGACTCTTCAGAACATAAAGAAGATTCCAGAAGATAAGCTATGCAAAAGACCTAGAAGGAAATGAGTCCAGATCAGTATTTCATGCAGGCTCTGGAAGACCTTTATAAAACAAGGACTTTGATTGAATAACTAGTGAGTAGGAGAGTAAATTGGTTGAGATGAAATTTACACACTGAGGGAGGGAGGGGTAAATTTGCATAAATACATAAAGAAATAGTAGGGAACTAATTTTTTATTCCTAAGCAGTTTCTAATTCTAAATAAAGTAAATTATTGTTCAGGAAAGAAAAACTATTCATTTTATGGTAACAACTTAGCTGTGCAAAGTATCTCTGTAGTTCATATTATGCAAAAACTGGAAACTGATCTAATCAGATTTACGTTATTACAATCTAGGGATATGAGAACTGAGTGGCAATTGTAGGACCAATACCTGAATCCATAGTTTCCTAAAAGTAATGTCAACAGATAATGTATGAAGCTGGTCAACAAGCAGCCAAGTCACTGAGAAATGTGAGGGCCTATTTTATTTTATTTTTCATTGATTTTTTTAAATAAATGACAGTGGAATGCATTACRA